CTGGCTTGGTGGTGACCTTGCTTTTGGGGGAGAATCTCAGTAGTCCTGAAAAGATAAAGATGGGGTGGCCGGGGTGGCGGTGGAGGTGGAGGGTAGTATCAGAACAGGTAGGGAGATTAGGTACTAATCTCTTTTCTCTGTAGCCCCTTGGTGGGAACTAGGTGGAGATGGAATGCAGGGGCCCTAGGCCAAGGCTATGAGAGCAGACACCTTTAGCAAAGAGCCCTATACTTCCTTTTGGCCCTGGGCTTACTGCTGTTTTGGAGTCAGGTTTCAGGGTGCCCCAGGTCACCAGACTGGGGCACAAAAGACTTTTTTTTTTTGGAGATAGAGTCTCACGTTGTCACCCTTAGTACAGTGCTGTGGTGTCACAGCTCACAGCATCCTCAAACTCTTGGTTTAAGCGATTCTCTTACCTCACCTTCCCAAGTGACTGAGCACCCACCACAATGCCCGGCTGTTTTTTGTTGTAGTTGTGATTGTTGTTTGGTAGGCCTGGGCTAGGTTTGAACCCACCAGCTCCGGTGTATATATCTGGCGCCCTAGCAGCTGAGCTACAGGTGTCGAGCCCCAAAGACTGCCAGTTTTGCAGGCTGCCTTCACAAAACAGGCAAGCTGGGGTTGGCTTCGTCTGCAGTGTATGCGAGGCCTCAAGGGGCTCTTGGGTGAGAAGAAGGGGCCACAGGAGCATTGCACTGAGGCATTGAAGTCCTGTCTCTGGGCTGTGACCAGGGAGCTTGCATCCAGCCCACCTGAGTGTTTGAGGTAGGGAAATGAAAGGAGTAAAGAGTCCAAGGCACCTAGGAAGGAAGAGAGGCAGCTGCACTAGAGAGGAGAGAACGTGCACGCCAGGCAGGCCGTCGGCAGCTGTCAGACTGGCAGGTTCACAGGGTGGGCAGGGACTCTGTGGCTCGCCCCCCGAGGCTACATGGTGCTGGAATATGGTGGCTGGCACTGGGCCTAAGTGGCAAAGAAGAGGGGGTGTGAGGAGGTGGGTGGGCCTCCTTTTGGAAAATGAATTCTAGTGCCATTCACCCCAAATAGGCTGGCTGAGTTTACCCCTCTCCTGTGTTGCCTGTCCTTGCCAAGATGACCTTAGTCAGAGGGTGTCCTTAGTCCAGGATGGTGTAACAGAACACTGTAGCCTAGATGGCTTAAACAGAAATTATTTCTTTCTTACAGTTCTTGTAATACCATTCACAAGGACGATGTCACCCCCCAATGGGTGGAGCGTCCCTAAGTTCCCACCCCTTATACCATCATATTGGGGTTAAGGTTTCAACACAGGAATTTTGAGAGGACATGGTCCTTTGCAAAGGATGGTACAGCATGGGCAGGACCTGCTGGCAACAGAGCAAGGGGAGGGAGAGAGAGCTTTAGTTAAGCTCCGTAAGATATTACTTTAGTTAAGCTCCGTAAGATATTAGCAAGAGCCTAGTGCCAGGGGGAGTATGTGCCAGCCTCCCTGAGTAGTACTACCCAGCCTGCCTGCCCAAGTACTCATTTGTTCAATATTATGCCTAGTGAATGAAAACAGTGCGCAAGACAGACCCAGCCCAGGCCCTCCAGTACTCCAGTACTCCAGTAGGTATTCAAACAAGATAATTAGATTTTTTAAGGGTTATGAGACCGTGTAAGGAACACATGCGCTTCCCCTATAGTGTTTGCGGCTGTGTCTTCAGCACTTAGAACAGCTCCAGGCATCATCAAACAGGTGAAACTGAAGAACAGAGGTGGGCTGGTTTAGTTAGATCAGAGAAGGCCTCTCTGCGGATTTGACACTTTTGAGCTGGGCCTTAGTTGGATAGGAGGCAGATGTGAAGATGTGGAGAAGAGCAGTGGGAATTGAGGCAGAGGGAACTGCTAGTGCCGAGACTTTGGAGTTGAGGCCAATGTGGCTAGAGAGCAGCCCCCAGGGGTCAGCGGGGTGAGTGGGGGTCACACCATGAGGGACAGGGGAGGCCATGGCCAAGAGCACTGGGATGCCCTTGGAAGGTTTTAGGCAGGGGAGGACACTATCCAATTCCCATTTTGTGACGATGACTTTGGTGGGAATGAGCTGAAGGGGCAAGAGGAAGGAAGCCAGCTAGGAGCCTGTTAGTTGTCCAGGTCAGAGGTGTCAGAGGCTTAGGCAAGGCAAGATTAGTAAAGATAGGGACACACGAACATACCCAGAACGCTCATTGGAGATAGAAACTATGAGATCCATTCAAAATCTGTACTGAGTATAGATTGTATACTATTCCTAGTTCTGGGCCCTTTGTATAGTTCCTCATTCGGTCATTCAACAAACATTGCTCCTACCTGTTCTGCCAAGCTGTGTGCTGGGCCCTGGTGATCCCAAGATAAATTCTTGTCTCCTACCCAAGCATTTGACTTTCAAGCAAAAATAGAACAGTATTGGAAATTGCCATTAAAACACAAGACAAGTGGAAAGATGGCAGATCTTCCTGAGACTCACAGGACTATACATTAGGAAGTACACAAAAAATTACATTAAATATATGCAGCTCTTTTTTTTTTTTTTTTTTTTTGCTTATTTCTATAAGAAAGCTTTCTGCATATCAGTCACACCTCTGTAAAGTGGTTTTGAAAACAAATGAATCATGCAGAAGAAAATCATACTTTTTGGCTTAATCCCATTTTGAGTTGAGAACTTTAACAATAATTTGCATGTAATGAATATGGTTCCCTAAAGACAATAGATGAATTATTTTATATTCACATTTATTATATATTTATGAATAGGAAGAAACCGTAAACATTTTAAGCAAAATAAAACAATTATGAGTGGAAATTAAAAAAAAAATCACAGGAGAATGAGTGAACTGGATCTGAAAACTGTCTTCGTGGTGATCAGCAGTCTCCCTCCAGTCCTTGAGTGCCTATGCAATGTTTTCATTTTATCATCATTGTATAGTAAAAGAAAAAAAAGGAATCACAATTTGATCTTCCTGTTATCTGTCTCTAAAGCAGTTACTCAAGTGTGCTTTTGGATAGTATCACTTGATAAGTTTTAACCTGGCTGCCACTTTTAACCACAAACAAATTTAAATATATCTATATATAGTAAGCACTTTCCTCTGTTTTCCACCATTCATTAAGCTTCATCCTTTGACCAGATTTTCAAAGGTGACTTAGAACTGTTTCATTTGCTTGACGTTTGGATTTGCAGTGCTGTAAGGTGGATAAGTGCTTGGACTTGTGGAGGTAAGCTGCGGGGGCAGAATCCTGGCTCAGGCACTTACTGGATTTGTAACCATAGGGAAATCCTCTCTTGCTGCCCTAGTACTTCACTGTAAACTGATAATGACGTTACCTATATTATAAAGTTACTGTGAGGCTTAAATGCATTAATACCAAATAGCACTTAGAAGGGGACCTGGCATTGGAGGAAGCACTTGGTGCACTGTTTTTATTTTCATTACATTTTCCTAGCTAGGCTTCCCTCCCCTCCCTTTTTTGTCTTGAAAACAATTTTAGGTATTTATCTTCACTGTATATGATTGATTTTTAAAAATCATGAAGTGATGGTTTCATGCAATTAATGCTCAGTTTTCTTTCTAAATCTGTGCTATAAATAAGCATCTCAGTTCGTCCTGTTCTCTGTAGGTTGATTCTGGGTTCCTGCAGACTCACTAATTGTGTTTGGGTGGTGCTTTGATTTCTTCTCCCTTCCTGCACTAGTGAACCTCAGGGATAACCAGGTTGTAGTCAGCCTGGGGAGATTTCAGGTTCTCAGTTCCCATTGTGATTTGCATTTTTAATTGACTGTAGACTTTCATGTAAAGTATCCTATTTTCTTTTTTTTTTTTGAGATAGAGTCTCACTATATCGCATCACAGCGTGCCATGGTGCCACACCTCATAGCAACTTCAAACTCTAGGGCTTAAGTGATTCTCTTGCCTCAGCCCACACTACAGGCACCTGCCACAATGCCCACCTGTTTTTGTTTTTATTTATTTATTTATTTTTTGCTGTTATTGCAATTGTCATTATTGAGCAGGCTCGGGCCGGAGGTTCTAACCTGTCAGCCCCGGTGTATGTGGCTGGTACCCTAATCACTGAGCTATGAATACCGAGCCAGAGTATCCTATTTTCAAGCCCCATCTATCTGTTTCACTGAAAATATACCTAGTATTTGAAAACACTAAAATCACAAAATATGCATAGTTGAAAATACTGTAATGACAAATTATTTCCACTTAACTACAACTAAAGTCTTTTCCAAAATATATTGCTTGTGATATTAATATTTTTTTATGGTGAAAAGAGGACTCTAGTCAAAAATGTGTTTTGGAATGCAGGCCAAACGATAATTTAACAGATGCATTTTCTGTATTTCTGATTGATTTTTAAAAATCAGTCACACATAGTGAAGATAAATACCAAATAGTGTTTTAATTTTGAAACTTTTTCATGTGTCAAAGAGTGAATCTGTATAAGGAATACATAGTATTTAGCAGTTCTCAAATGTATTTATCCTTGGATCCTTTTGTGCAGTAAGCTTCTTTGGGAAATGCTGAACTATCATCAGAGTTGATGCTGAGATGATTGTTCTATTTAATTTATTGAAAATACTGACTGGGTATGGTGGCTCCCACTTGTAATACTAGCATTTCAAGAGGCCAAGATGGGAGAATTGCTTGAGACCAAGAGTTTGAGACCAGCCAGAGCACCATAGGAAGACCCTGTCTCTACCAAAAATAAAAGTATTAGCCAGGTGGGGTGGCACACACCTGTAGTCCCAAATTACTTCTGAGGCTGAGGCAGGAGGATTGCTTGCAGGAGTTTGTGGTTGCAGTGAGCCATGATGATGCCACTATGCTGAAACACAGGCAATAAAGCAAGAACCTGTCTCCAAAAAAAGAAAATATTTGTTGAGCATGTAATTTCTGTGAGACATTCAGTGGAGGTTGTTAATATAAAACTGACTGAAGTTGTTTGGAAAATAATTAAATTTTTATATGTATCTTTGCCTTTTTATTTTCTTTCTCTAGTGTTCTTTTGAAGATGAGGACATCAGTTCCTTGTGGAAATCTTTAGAACTGGAATTACAAAAGACAGTGCACACATACTGTGGAAAAATTTACAAAATATTTATCAAACAACTAGCAAAAAGCATAAGAGACCGTTACGATAGACCCCCAAAGGAAAGGTGATTCCTGGTGACTGCTGAGTCAAGTGGATGAAAACAACCAAGTATCAGAGGATGAATGTGAAGGAATCATCTTGGATGAAGTATTCAGAAAGGAATTATTCATCTCCAGAATAATTTTCTTCCTAAAGAAGTTAAATGGGAAAAAAATAAAAAGAAGTTAAATGAGCAGTATATTTCATGTAATGAAGAATAAGTTAAAGTCTTGGACTCCAGCATGAAGCATTTTTGATCTCTGATGTTTTGTGATGTTAACTTGCTGTCATTCCAGTATTGATTTAAATATTGAGTGGTCTTAGCCTACAGACTTCTGTTGACTCTTCCTCTTTAGTAAGAACGGGAGGAGTGTCTGGATGAAGAAAACGTACCTCATATGCAGTGGAAACACTCAGACTGAGTATAGCAATAATTTTATGTTAGCACTAACCTCACTTTAAATGTGTGAGAAAAAAGTTGTTTACAGGAGCAGAAAAGGTTCTGTTTCTAAAGAAATGTGATGTAACAGTGTAACCATTGACAATCTGTATGTGCCTTTATACATTTCATCTCTGTTTTAAGATATTTTTGTGACAATCATGTTTAAAAGTACTTTTAGATTATGAAGTAAGCTGTCTGTTAAAAATTGAGCTATATAAGAAAAAGGAAAAATAGTGAAAACTTTGGGGTTTAAATGTCTCTGTGTGTATGTGTGTCTGTGTGTATGAGAGAGAGATGCAATGTCTTCATTTTGTATGTGTTAAAATGTCTTGCCAAAACTCAGATCTGAGATTGTTAAATAGATATTTGGGGAAACTTTTTATCACTTTAAATGAAAAATTTCAGCTTTACTGGGCATTCTGGGAGCAAAGTGTACTATGGTGATAAAGTGAACACCTTAGTAGCATACTAATATGACGGTGGAAAATGTGATGGACCAAAATGCATAAGCTATATACATTCCTGTGATCAATAATTTTAGTTAAAACAGAGTAGGGAAAAAGTGTCCATTTAAACTTCTACCTCATAATGGCTTTGCAAGATATTTTTGAAGAAGCAAATGGGTGTAGAGCCTTACGTAATACACCTTTGGTGGGTGATTTGGATTAAGCAGATTGTTACATTTGACTATAGGAAAAGTAGTATGATTAGGTTAGTGTGCATATCTTTCTTTTTTGAACATCACTTAAGACAGGTAATTTTTGCAGTCTTGAAGATGAGAAGAATCTCACTTCTCTGGCTTTCTTGACCTACTGCCTGACGTATCTATAGATTCTGAGTACTCAGCATTACTTTGCTGAGGTGCATAACTCATTTTAGTGGCAGCTCTCTGGTATCTTCTTTTTTTGTCTTTAATATTTCAGTGTGCAAGTAGAGAAGAGAAAATCACAAAGGAAAATTATCACTCATGGCAAATCATGGCAATTGTCTTTGTGAAGCCAGTGCCCTGTGTGGAGACAAGGGATATGCAGAAGGAGATGGTCAGGGCAGTCGTCCTTGTCCTCTGCAGGGCAGTCGTCCTTGTCCTTTGCAGGGCAGTCAGGGACAGACCGAGAGAGGAAGGTCTAAGAGAGGCAGAGGGGAAGTTGATATCCAGCTCAGCACTTGTATAACAGATAAGTTAGCATGAGCTGGGTTTCCCTGGGCAAAACTGTCAACTGTGTTGAAATTGAGCTTGCTGAGTGTAAAATCAGAATTCTAAAATTTTGAAGTTTGTAGGATATATACATAAGTTTATCTCTAGTACTCCCCAGATAAGACCATTGCTTGCCTGACTATGTAAGAGTCTTGTTGGGAGCTGATTAAGAGTAGATTCCTATGCTTCACCTTTTGGAGACTCTGGTATGTTGTATTTAGTATGGGGCCCACAAAAATTTTTTTTAACTAAGAGTTTTAAAAATTATACAAGAGTAGAATAGTGCATTGATACTCAACATCTGAGACAACCCTTATCAACATCTTACTGTATTTGCTTCATCTATCCCTTTTGGCTGAAGTATCTTAAAGAAAATCCCAGACATTGTGCTATTTCACATCTATGAACATTCTGATAATGACAGTTGACATCACACCTAACAAAAGTAGTGGCAGTCCTCTGGCTTCCTTTCATAGCCATCCCTAAGTAAGTTTCCTGGATCATTTCACATATGCCATCTTACAGTTGGGGTGTCAGAATCAGGTTACAGAAATAAGTCACATTATGATGTTGTTTGTAACAGTCACTTCAGATGATTTTGATGTTGGCTAGCTTGGGAGCCACTGAAAGTTATTTTGCCAACTTGAAGTTAGGATGTCACAATTCTTGGCACAGTAGATAGCTTATAACTGTGATTTTGAAATATTATATTAGAGGAAGCAGTTGGACTTACAAGATATGAATTTATTTTAGTAAGTTACTTAAGATTTAATTTTCTCAGTGAACAGAGAAATCTCGGCACCCCGGGCTCTCTGTGTCCTGTGGTGTCCCTCATGCGGTGGCTTAGTTCCCCTGTCACACACTGTATGTTGTAGATCTTGGGAAGTTCTTCATCTGCTTTGTTTAGACCTGACTTAAATGATCACTGTACCATAAATTAGATTACAGTGAGAACTTTCTAGAGACTGTATTTTGCCTGAAACTAATGATACCACAGTGTCTGTAACAATTTTAAAATGAATTTTCTGAATTTATTTTTAGCCAAGGTAACTTTCTCCTTGAGGATTGTAAAGAAATGAAGTTCTCAAAGTTGATGAGGTTAAGTTGTAGATGGACAACTTGAAGAGTGTATCACATTGTTTTTTGGTATAAATAGCCTGTCATAAAACATAATGTATCTATGCAGTTTATATAAATTACACTCTATATGCTTTGAGCCTGTGTGTTAGAACAAGTCTGACCTCAGAACTATCTCTGGGCTATGGTATCACCAAAGAGGGACGACTTGATAATGGAGTCAGACTTGATTTGTGTGAAGTAGACAAGAACCTGGAAAACCTTTAGAAAACATATATTGTGATTTACATTTAAGAAAATGTGTACTTTCATTCCTTACCAGGAGTAGTTGATTATGTATAGGCCTAACCACTTCAGAGCCTGAAATAACAGCACTGCTATGCGGTGCACCCTCCTGCCTCCTGCCAGACGTTACGGTGCAATGGAGGAGGACCAGACTGTGAACTGGATCGGATTCTCTCTTGGCCAGGGACCTCAGGCGTGTTAGTTCACCTTCTCTGTGCCTTAGGTTTTTAACTACAATCACATGCCCTTCCATCCTCACAAGATGCGACTTGGAAGAGGGAATGGATTGAGGAGCATTCTGAGTGGCTTACGTGGTGCTGCCCTAGTGCTCCTGCTAAAGTTCTGCTGTGCTCGGTTGTCTCCCTGTTTATTGAGGCGGATGTTTTCTGACATGTATCTGCAGTATGAATTAGTTTATATTATGTAAGGAAGAGTTTTCAGGAAGAGAAAGTTGAGAAGAAAAGAATTGTGTAACCGAATAACCAAAAGAGAAGGAAAAGAGAGGAAGTGAGAAGAGGAGAGGTGGTGGAGAAGAGGAGTCAGAATGAGAATGGCAAAAGGCAGAGTAAGGAAGAGAAAAGATGGAAGGAGAGTGGGGAACCAAAGTAGAGATGGAGAGAAAAGGTGTGCAAACATTCACTTTCTGAGTTGTAGCCCCTCACCCTGTGTCAAGATCTGCTCGCCTTGGCCCTCCAGGGTCAGAAAAAGTGCTGGTTCATTTGGTTTGTTGGCGTTAGAGTTGTTTCTGACCACTATCCACTGATCATTTCATGCTGATTCAACTTTATCTTTCTACCAGCCCTCAGGTAGTGAGCTAGGACTTGTGAAAACACAGGTATCTTCCTCTGTAACTTTGCCCTTTTAGCCATCACCAGGGGAGGTGGGAGGTGGAGGGCACTGCTTTATCACGTCTGAAAGGAGCTCAGGAATCAATTTCAGCAGCCGGTTTGGGAATCACTGCCCTGCCTTGAATAGCAGATTAAACAATAAGTCACATCTATCTGTCCCTCAGCAGGGATACTTTGCAGTTACACCATTGTGAGTAGATTCAAGAAAAAAGACAGCAGAGAGAAAGGGAAACACCTTGAAAGATACTATTCGTTCTCTTATTTTTCAGATGTTTGTATTCAAGTAATTAATAGCACCTAGAACCTCTTTGAGATGTTTTTAGGAAGACCACTGATCTATTTTTTAAAAGAACTTTTTTGGTTCCTTAGAATAGAAAAGAAAAGTAGCGGTGCAATATGTGACATGTGGGGCCAGTTATCCACATATTAAACACAATTTCAAGTGGCTTAAAATCATAATTGCCTTATTGCATTTTAATATTTAATAGAAGTAGATTACATAATGATTTGTACTATAATGGTTATTTTATACATTGCCAAAGCAATCCTTTTTTGCCAATTAAAGTCTGGCTAAACTGTTCCAATGTTTGTTGTTCTTAATTCATTGATTATGAAACTATACATTCAAAACTAAGTTATGTAAACTTAAGACAGAAGTCTAAAAAGTGATATATTCTTTTTTTTTTTAAAAAAGCACGTTACTGAAATATCTAGCAGTGATAGAATCATGAGAAAAAGAAACACACATTGGGCTGGGCACTTTTAAATTGCCCCTCAACATCATTTACTCTTAAATGGAAAATATGTATTATCATCTCATTCCTACCAGTAATCGCAAATGTTTCATATTATTTGTTGAGAATTTACTGTAAACTCAGTTTTCAAACAAAAGAAAGCCTTTGAAAAGGGAAAACTAGAAGAGAAAACTCTCACTGCTAATACCGTGCATAGTGTTTGCAGGCACTGCAGTCAGGTATTCTAATACCAAACTTAAGAACTGACGCGGAGCCTTTGATCATGTTTAGTTGGTAGACATGGCCTGAAACTGAACACATTGAGACACATAACACACCATAGCAACCCCTTGTAAAAATTGGTGAAGAAAATGAAACTGTATATTACAGTTAAAAGGTAAATTGGCTTTGACTGGGAAACAATAGCTGTTTTCATCCTTCCTGTAAAATCTCTTCAGGGAGTATTGGAATTTTTCTTATGTAAAAAAAAAAAAAAAAACATCCAGGGCTTGTAGCGTGTGTAGATGTGTCCTTCATTCGAAACTTAAGCTTTAATGCCTTGTCAGCTGTATTTGAGAGCTGTAGAGTGGGTTTGATGGATGCTATGATGGAAGATCTGTGAAGGACATGGTGGTTTACACCTGTTCCTGAAATCAGAAACTGGAAAAGATTGCAAGTATTTTAGTTTTCCCAATATTTTGCATAAAAAATATTAGTAATTGTTCTAAAGCGACAGGAAGGCATCATTATGTACTGTGATATGTAGCAAATACTAAACTGCTTTTTATTTAAAAATATTTTGGTTTTAGAATGTGAATGTCCTCCTCCAAGTATTTTGAGTACTTTGACAGTTATTAAAGAAGAGTATAAAATGATAGATTTGGGTCTAACCTGAGTAATTAGTTGCTTTGTTCTGTTTTGGAGGAGTTCAGCTTATCTTTTTCTTGGGAAACTGTGCGGCTGTTACTAAATAAACATCAATAAACATTTAATTTCCTAAAATGATATCTCTCAATTATTTTAGAAGTCAAAAGCAATTTTAGAATTTTTAGGGCTGGAATGCTTGCTTACCAGGAGTCTAGGCTGAGGGCATTTCCTGGGTTGGCAAATTCAGCAGCCGAACAATGTCACCAAAGACCTAGGTACCTTCTGTCTTTACATCAGCATTTTCACCAAGGGAACTTGGCATCTCCCCTTACGGCTCCAAAGTCACAGCAAACGTCCCAGAGATGGTGGATGATAACCAGATGCTGGAATACATTTTTTCTGTAAGAGGAAAGTTTCATTTGCTCCCATTCACTTGCCCCCACAGCCCCAGCAATGCTAATTTCCAGTCGCTTTTTCAAGAGAATAAAGCTGTCACAGTTGGCTCAGACCATGAAGATTTGCCCTAACTTAAAAATGTCCTCCCCTTGGGGTGTGGCTGCTCAGAGGAAGAGGAACAACATTGGGCTGGTGGGATGCGAGGGTGTAGGGTTTGGGGAGACAGCAGTTGAGTAGTATTTCCTATAATTATCAGGGGGATCAAATTTCATACCAGGGGAAGAGCACCCTTGCTGTGCCAGGGGCTGATGTTACAAATTATTAGTTCTCGGTTATAAGTATTTTATTGCTTCTTGTAAGCCATGTTGTTTGGGGGCAGTGGGGAAGGTTTTTGCCACAATCATCATGTAAACCAGGGGTCCTCAAACTTTTTAAACAGGGGGCCAGTTCACTGTCCCTCAGACCGTTGGAGGGCCGGACTGCGGGCCATGGGACGGGTCGGCTGCTAAGCAGGACAGGCAGCGGTGGCAAAAACACCTGGTGGGCCAGATAAATGTCCTAGGTGGGCAGCATGTGGCCTGCAGGCTGTAGTTTGAGGATGCCTGATGTAAAGGGTTTTAAAAGATTGTTGAGGTGGGGTGCAGTGGCTAACTCCTGTCATCCAAGCACTCTGGGAGGCTGACGTAAAAGGGTCGTGTGAGGTCAGGCAACATAGGCGGTGTAGCACTTGCCTATCGTCCTAGCACTTGGGAGGCTAAGGTAGGAGGATTACTTGAGCTCAGGAGTCTGAGGTTGCTGTGAGCTGTGATGATGCCACTGCATTCCAGCCTGGGCAACAGAATGAGACCCCATCTCTTAAAAAGCAAAACAAAACAAAACTGGAAAAGCTCAGTTTATAAAAAACTAATGAAAGGGTTTTTTTGTTGTTGTTCATTTTTTGGCTTGTTTTTGTTTTTGTTTTAATAAGAGGAACCAATGCTGGCAAGGTTATGTCGAACCTATGCAGGAACTACAGCAGAGGTGGGGTGATTTATATACCCTCACTTTGTGAAATCATTGATGATTCATGCACAAGCAATCTCAAAACTATTTATAATAAACAGTGGTGCAACCTAAATGCTCAGCAGTAGGGAAATAGGTAAATGATGGTACATGATTCTAGATTGGTGGTTCTCACTGGGAGGAAACTTTGGTCCTTAGTGGATGTTTGGTAATATCTGGAAAAGAGGGTGAAGCTACTGGTATCCGGTGGGTAGAGGCCTGGAGTGCTGCTGAACTTGTTACTCACAGGACAGTCCCCCACAACTGAGAATTCTCTATCCAACACATCAATGCCAGTATTGAGAACTGAAATACAGGTAAATAGACAATTAAAAACATGCCTCAATACAAGCAAGCACAGGCCACAGCCACATACAGAAGTCAGGCTGCTCTTGAGGCAGGGTGTTTCCTACACTGAAATCTGAAGGAAAAGTAAGTTAGCCGGGCAGGAAGGGTGATATAGTCTTCTAAGCAGAAGGACTAAGTAACTACAAGCTCCCAGATTATGGTGAGTTCTGGAAACTTCAGTACATTTGGATGGGATGTAGACAGCCACCAGGCTAGATCAGTCTATGTTCGTCTTTCACCTGGATGATGGCCACAGCTGCCCACTTTGTCTCCTTTCCTCCATTCTTGTTCTTCCAAGCTGTTCTCTAAAATGTGATCAGAATGATCCCCATAGTGCTTTATTCCAGTAACATTCCTGTATGCTGGGGTGGCACCTGTGGCTCAAAGGATTAGGGCACCAGCCCCATATGCCGGAGGTAGCAGGTGCAAACCCACCCCCGGACAAAAACTGCAAAAAAATTCCTGTATGCTGAAAACTCTGCTATGACATTGCTGGTAATAGACCAAGCAGGTGTGTTATCTTCTCCCCATCCTTTTGTTTTGAAACAGTCTCACTCTGTTGCCCTGGCTAGAGTGCCATGGCTTCATCATCATAGCTATGGCAACCTCAAACTCTTGGGTTCAAGCAATCCTCTTGTTTCAGCCTTCAGAGTAGCTAGGATTACAGCCACTACAATACCTGGCTAGTTTTTCTATTTTTAGTAGAGATGGGGTTTTGCTCTTTCTCAGGCTGGTCTCAAACTCTTGACTTCAAGCAATCCACTACCTCAGCTTCCCTGAGGGCTAGAATTACAGGAGTGTGCACAGCACCTGTCCTATCTTTTCTCTCTTCGGATGTCAGAGTAGTGTAAACAACTGTGGTGAGAGAGGTATGTTCTGTGAGAATATAGTGGACCCTCTGAAAAACGTGTGGGCTCCAGAGCCAATGAATCAGGAGTATGCCTCATAGAACTGAGCCGCATCCCGGGAATAGGGAGTCTGAGCCCTTGTGTAGGACATCTGAAATACCAGGAGATGTAGGGGACTAGAATTTGTGCAAAGGGCGTAGATCACCTCAGTTGGGGTTTTCTTCTAGTAGAGAAAAAGTGCACAGGCAAAATCCCAATTTTCAATCTGTTTATGGGGAAAAATCAGCAGATATGTGGGAAGATGGAACATGCATTATGTCACCCTCTCATTTCATGATAATTTTAGTGTCCGGCTCACTGTTAATCTTCAAAACTACTGCTGTTGTATGTTCTAGGTGATCTCAG